AACCAATATGGCATGTGTGAACCAGAAATGTAGAAACCCTTGTCCCGGAAGTTGCGGTTACAACGCCGATTGCAAGATTGTTAGCCACGCACTAATATGTTCCTGTCCCTATGGTCAAACTGGGGATCCATTAATTTCATGTAATCCCATTAAAGGTATTTATATTATTGATATTATTTAAGTATTTGAAATTCGCGGCAGCTCTTAATAATTTGTTTTTTTTTTTCAGATACTATCATAGAGTACAGTTCGCCGTGCGAACTATCGCCTTGCGGACTTAACGCCATATGCACAGAAAGAAATGGGGCAGCATCTTGCAAGTGTGTTGATACCTACGTCGGCAATCCTTACGAGGGCTGCCGTCCGGAATGCGTCATTAATAGCGATTGTCCTCCTACACTAGCTTGCGTTCAAAATAAATGTAAAGATCCATGCCCCGGCATTTGCGCTCCCAACGGAATTTGTCAAGTCATCAACCATCTTCCTTCATGTTATTGTCCTCCTGGACTTACTGGAGATGCTTATTCGTATTGCAAGCAAATCGAAGGTTAGTATCAGATTGTTTTTCACAATGCTTATTTAATTCATTGATTCATATAGATAACTCTAGTAACATAAGAAAAATGGCATAACTATTATGTCGTAGTGTGTATTTCTTTTAGTTTTTTTTTTTACATAAATTCAATTTTCCATATTGTTTAACAATAATTAGTAAACCATTTTTTTAGAAATCGAAAAATCTACACCATGCACCCCTTCACCCTGCGGTCCAAACAGTCAGTGCCGCGAAGTGAATTCACAAGCAGTCTGTAGTTGCCAGGTCGATTTCCTTGGCAATCCGCCAAACTGTCGCCCCGAGTGTACCATCAATAGCGAATGCGCCAGTGACAAAGCCTGCAAAAATCGTAAATGCGTCGACCCGTGTGTCAATCAATGTGGTCGAAATGCCAACTGTAGAGTGATAGCTCATAATCCAATATGCTCTTGTCAAGAACAGTTCACTGGGGATCCGTTCACTTTTTGTATGCCATGTAAGTATTCACAACTTTTTTACTATTAGAACAAGTCAACAATGTACATTAGTATCAATTTAATACACTATTAGATGAGCTACAAGCTATAGATATCAAAATGTCCGATCAAAGTAAAACTGGCATATGTTTAAAATAGCAAAATAGAAAAAAAACGTGCTTTGAATAATTTTTTAATGTTGTGAATCTACCTTTAATCTGATCTGATAATGTGTCAATGTTATAATTACTTTTATTTATTGTAGCCGTCGTGTCGGTTCCGACGCAAGATGTCAACCCTTGTGTGCCTTCACCATGTGGTCCGAACGCCCAGTGCCAGGAATACAAAGGCAATGCTCGTTGCACTTGTTTACCAAACTACATCAGCACACCACCTCGGTGCAGACCGGAATGTACAGTGAACAGCGAGTGCAGTGCGGTAACAGCGTGCATTAACAACAAGTGCGTGGACCCCTGTCCGGGCGCGTGTGGTAACAACGCACAGTGCAACGTCAACAATCATATGCCAATCTGTTCTTGCGTCCCAGGCTACACCGGCGACCCCTTCACGAACTGTAATCCAATGCCACTAGGTAAATAATACTGTCTTACGAAATTAGTTCATAAATATTATTTACTTTCTTAATGGCATTATCAATAAGAACAGTATGTTTTCATATATTTTTTTTACTTCAGAAACTGAACCACTGGATCCCTGCCACCCGTCACCTTGCGGACCA